GATTCTGATCGGTGGCGGAATCGGGAACAGAAACTTCTCGAAATCGAAAGAAGCGAGTTTGTTTTTCTCGTTAATATCGTCTCTCAGAGCAGATTCCGCCTCCGTTAAACCATTCCTCCGGAGAAACTCAAGCACAGATTTCACATCAACCGCCATTGACCAACCACCACTGTCAGTGTCACGAGAGAGTTTCAGAACAAGCGAGAGACACGACGGAGAGATAAAGAGAAGGGAAAGTTTCAAACTTGGAATCACGTGATTGAGAATCGAGTCAAAAAACTAAAACCCATTGTTGGTATAGATGATAAGCTTCTTAAAGTCTCGCATGCTCTGATGATTTAATCTAAATCTCTGATCTTTATTCTTCTTCTTCTTCATCTAAGTCTTCTTCTACTCTGTATAGGCTCTGTAGGACCAAAGTTAAGAATAACGGACATGGTGCGATGTCTTGTCTTACCGGTTTTTTTTTTTTGGGGGAAATTTTCTCTCTGAAGGTTTCTTCACGTTACGGGATTGATAAGTTTCAACGTTCGTGGTTTTTTTTTTTTTTTTTCACTCATTGACACGTGTACTAATACAGATTTGACACGTGTAAATGATATCACTGTTTTTGGCGTATTTTGACTTTATTTTATAATGTTGAACCGACGGAAGTTTTTAACATTTCGTTTTTTCTTGTATTGGGGGACAAAATCGAATTCAAAAGTTTAATAAAATAATGAAAAAGGAAGAATCTTTCAGATGATTGTGATTATTTTACTTAAAAATCTCTAAATCTTCCACTGTTGTATTATTTATTTATTTAAGTTATAAGAAAGCGAATCTATCAATCGTCCACCATCATCATCACTTACCTAATCTAAGAATTTTCAAAGTATCAAGAAGTTTTCTTTTGGTAAAAACGTAACAAGAAGTTTTAGTTAATTTTAGTTTACATGAGGTAAGATACTTAAAAACTTTATTGTGAAATTTGGGAAATGAAGAAATCATATCATATAACTTTATAATTAATCTCTGTATTTATATTTCTAGCAATTCTTGAGGAGATTGTGTTTTTCTCTCTTTTGCTTTTACCCTTACCTTTATAAAAAAAAAAAAAAAGTGTTTCCAATGCCTTTTTAAGCCTATTATTAATTACTACAGAAATTGAACGTTGTAGTTTTTTTTTTCTTTTCTTTTTGTTAAAGAAAAGAACGTTGTAGTTGTAGAGACGAATTCAAGTAAAGCAGGATAAAGACAAAAAAAAATTAAAGTTGACAGCTGAAAGGCAAACTGAAAATCCGTGGAACGTTAGAATAATGTTTTGTTACGCAATTTCTGGTTATGGACAATTTTTTTTAATAAACTCTAAATAGCAAATGGTTTGCGATAGGGACGTAGAGTTAAACATGAATATATAATGTGTGAACAAAAAAAAGGAAAAATAATGTTCGTCCTTGAAGAATAAGAGAGGAAGACAAAACAGCTCGTGCAAACTGCAAGTGAAACTCTATCATATGCAGGCAATTTTGTAACGATAGACATTCGTTTTGGACTAATTAATCTATCTCTTAACTCTTAAGTTTTATGATTATGTATTTTATAAGTACCCACACCAAACCGAGTAGCCACAATCATTATAGATTGTGTTAAATCATAATTTATTTGCTTTAAGTCGAAGATATATAATATAGTTCACACATCTCCATACAAAACATAACTATGAAGATAACTATAATAAATTTATTTTGATTTTTTTTGTTTCCAAGAATCAGTTTCTCCATTTATATATAGATGCTACTTGTTTCTTTATAGTTACTATAATTTCCTCTTATTCAAAACTAGCTCAAAGGATCCAAATTATGCTCGGAATGCTTAACTAATACACAAGTCTAGAGACTAGAACCAATCTGACGAAAAAAAAAAAAAAAAAGAGACTAGAAACAATCTGAAAATTTAAGAGTTTTAGAAAGCTTTGAAAACAAAGGATTTGGTATGACGTCCATGTGGTGGGTGACTAATCATGGTTTTACTAGTAGCTCTGTAGTGAATAATCATCATTATTAAATATTTTTGCTATAATTGATCTGAACCCCACCGACTACAATTATATTGTTTTCTCAGCAAAGCCATTAGTGTGACCTATATCAGCTTTTCCACGTGACCACACTTTCAGAACTATTTTTTCGTTCAGGGTTTTTGCTGTTTAGAAATTAATTTATTCATCATAGATTCTCCAAGTCCCAGTAATGAGAATTTTTGGTGGTAGTCGTAAGTTCTAACTCACTAATTAGGCTAGGCAATTACATGAAACAATAAAGGAATATATATGAAGAGGATATAGGTGAATGGTATTAAAAGTATAGATATATTCCACTTATTCGGATACTTTTATATGAAATTAGTAAATGTTCATTTCATTGCATCCAACATAAACAATTTGATTTTAACAAAATGTTGATGGATGCTTCATTCTATCGTATTTAAATTATCTCTTTAACTAGACATGTGCATCCATGATCGCCATGCATGTATAGCATTTTAAGGAATTAACTAATTTGTAAAATGCTAGAACAAATATGTATCAACGATATTTGTCACTTTTTTTTTTTTGGCAAAAACGATATGCTACTTGTAGTTTTTAAAAATAGACGATTGATCAAACTTTACGAGGATTTTGACTCGCTTTTCTTTAGACACACGTTATTTGAATGGGCGAAGCGAACATATGAAATTGTCAATATAACTTGTAACCTGTTGAAATATATTTTGCTGTAGATTTAAATGCCCTCCTCGCAATGAATTTCCCCACGGTTTTTATACATTGGATTACTCTCTGCATCACTACATCCTCCTTCTCGGTTCAGATTAATGGTGAATTAGCGGACTATTTCCGAAGCGCAAGAGGGTTACGCCAGGGCTGCTCTCTATCTCCGTACCTTTTTGTCATAAGCATGGATGTTCTCTCAAAAATGTTGGATAAGGCGGCAGGTGCAAAACAGTTTGGATATCATCCGAGATGTAAAAAGCTAGGTTTAACTCATTTGAGTTTCGCCGATGACCTTATGATTCTTTCTGATGGCAAAGTAAGATCAATTGACGGGATAATAGGGGTGCTGGATGAGTTCGCAAAACGGTCTGGGCTGAAGATAAGTATGGAAAAGTCTACTCTGTTTTTAGCAGGAATACAAGACCTCATTCATCAAGAGACAAGCCAACGTTTCTCCTTTGAGATAGGAAACCTACCGGTTCGGTATTTGGGGCTCCCATTGGTCACTAAACGTCTTACATCTGCAGATTATCTCCCATTACTTGAGCAAATCCGACAAAGAATTGGGTCGTGGACATCAAGATTTCTATCTTATGCTGGCCGGCTAAATCTGATAAGTTCGGTCCTTCGAAGCATTACTAATTTCTGGATGGCTGCGTTTAGGCTACCTCGGGCCTGCATTCGGGAAATTGATCAGCTATGCTCGGCTTTTCTATGGTCAGGCTCGGAAATGAGCTCCCATAAAGCTAAAGTATCGTGGGAAGCTATTTGCAAACCAAAACAAGAGGGAGGACTTGGATTAAATTCGTTGAAAGAAGCAAATGATGTGTGTTGTCTGAAATTGATTTGGCGAATAGCTTCACATGGAGATTCATTGTGGGTCAAGTGGTTAGAAACGTACCTTCTTAAGCAAAAATCATTATGGTCAATCAAAAGCAATACAGCTCTGGGTTCATAGATTTGGAAGAAGCTTCTCAAGTATCGAGGTGTGGCAAAAAATTTCTGCAAAGTAGAAGTGAAAAATGGTAACAGCACTTCTTTTTGGTATGATAATTGGTCTACTCTAGGAAGATTGGTGGATGTTGTAGGTGAGAGAGGAGTCATAGACTTGGGTATTCAACGAGGTATGTCTGTGGCTGAAGCTTGGCACTCATGTCGCAGTCGACGGCATAGAACAGAAGCTCTAAACCAGATCAAAAATGTATTAGCGGTGTCAAAGCAAAACCGAACAGAGGCAGTGGACATTGTGTTATGGCGAGGTCGGAATGACATGTACAGACCACAGTTCTCCACAAGAGATACTTGGAACCATATTAGATCAACTACAAATAAGGTAGCATGGCATAGAGGAATTTGGTTTACTCATGCGACGCCAAAGTTCTCTTTTTGTCTTTGGTTAGCAGTCTTGAACCGCCTCTCTACAGGTGATAGGATGGCAAGATGGAATGTGAGGTCGTCAGTGGCATGTGTCTTCTGCAATCACTGCATGGAAACCCGTGACCACCTATTCTTTACATGTGTCTATGCCTCGGAAATTTGGACAGCCATTGCAAAGAACCTTCTCAAGGCACGTTACACAACGGATTGGCAAACTCTGATAACCATTGTCTCAGAAACGCAACGTAATCGAGTGGAAAGCTTTCTCTTGAGATATGCTTTACAAGCATCGGTTTACACAATTTGGAGAGAACGAATTGGAAGAAAACATGGAGAGAAACCGAACTCAGCTACACGACTTATTGGTTGGATTGATAAACAAATTCGAAACAATCTCTCATCGATTAGAATCATGGGAGACCGGCGGTATGAAGGACTTCAAGTCTGGTTTGCTTCAAGAGTGTAAAACAATCTAATCTCTAAAATCTCAGCTTTCTCTTTCAGCCTAATTTCGAAACCGTTGCACTAGTTGTAAAAACGATATATTTTTTCTTTTGAATATAATTTAACATTAAATTCAAAAAAAAAAAAAAATGTTATTCTTGTTTAACTTTAATTTGACTTTGGTGATTAACTCAAGTCCATATAACACCAATGGGCTTATATTGGTTGATAAAAAGGTTTACGAGACAAGCCCATGGATATTGGCCTTATTTATCTTGTTCGTAGGTAGGTTGATAGAACCGATGAAGAAGTATAATAAGGTTGGGTAAATATGATACAGATTTACTTTCATGTGAAATCCACACTAACCATATATCTAGAATTAACTATTTACCTCAATCAAAAACACTAGTCTACTAGTTTATACCGAAAATAAAAGGAACTGTTAGAGAAAAGAAAAAAACCACTAAAGACTGTCATTTGCCCATCATTGGTTAAACGTTTTTATTTTGTCATCATCATACAAATCTTTAAGCGAAGTAGTCTTTGTCAGGTCACTACGAGACTCCCACTCATGGAACAAACTATTTTACGTGTCTTGCAGAAAATAAACCCATCCACGATATGATACGTTATTTTCTTCAAAGGTTTTGCTTTTCTAAAAGTGAAATAAAGATCCCCCAAAACTCCTCTCAAAACTAATCCTAGTAAACTCTGATTTTCCAAAATCAGCGCTGTGAATTTTCTTTTTATTACAGAACGTCAAAATCATGGTTACTCAATATATACAAGCTAAGTTGACAAAAAAAAGTGGCCTATAATGATTCCATGTGACTATATATACGTACGCTTATATTTGAACATCCACTAATATACGATAGTGAAATTATGAAATGATATTTTGTAAGCTATTCGC